ATCTGGATCTCTGCAGAGCTGAGTCACAGACAGTGAATGCAATGTCTCCTTTTTGAAAGCTGTTTATCTGAATTATTCAGATTAAAGATTTCAGAGGTTTGAAGTGATCAGATTTTCTTACTGGCATTTGATGTTATAATAATGTTTGTTGGCAGATAGGGTATATATTCCCTTAAACACAGCTTAAAATAGCTGTTAATGCCCTATCAAAATTTAAATAAAGCTAGGTGTTGCAAGTGTGTTTAGGAAATAGGCTAGCTTTTATAAAGTCTAGCTGTCTGGAACATTATTGTAAAATAACATAAAGAAATATTAGGTGTTGAACCTTGAGCTGGCCAAGCATCTCTGTCACCCATGACAAAGGACGGTGATCTCAATTTATGGTTGTGGTACTGGAAATTATGTCTGTTGTTTTTTTCTTTAATAGACTGCTTTTCAATGGAATGCTTTGTTATGTATGGGTAGGTCAAGTAAGATAAGTTCTTACAGCATTGCAGAATGAAGTCATGTTGAACACATGGTACCAGCTATACACTGTCCAAGTTTTTGCTGATACACTGGATTTGAATTTGTACCTAGAGAAAGAGTATGTTTGCAAATGGTATCATGATCCCTTAGCCATAACATTTAATGGATTATTGAAATTGCTGCCTTGATCCCATCTGATCTGCGCAGGTACCTGAATAAGGCTGAAATCACAGAAGGTTTCAAATGTGTTAGAATTCCTGGGACAGAGTTCGGGCTGAGCGGGATGGCTCCAGTAGGCAGCAGGTGTCTGGAATCACTGAGGTTTGGCTTGGGACAGACCTAAGGGACCTTGCTGTCTACTCTATTTCTCCAAGCCAGGATGTGATACAGATACAGTCTGGTCTACTATAAATCCCCTTACCCTCCAAAAGCCAGAGAATGATAGGTAGGTCTTTCCAGTGCCAGTTGATTTTTAATACTTCAAACATTTTCCCAGTGAGTCACATATACACTGAGAAGATGAATATCTGTTCCTAATTTTCTATTTAGGCATTTAATTTTTCTTTCGTTCTGATCTGTAGTATTTCATGTGTGACTTCAGTCTCATTTTTGCAACTTTTTTCCTGGTTATAATTGTAATTTTAAACTCTTACCCTCTCCTGTTAGGTGTTTGCAGACTCTTTTGCCTGCAAAACCACCTAGAGGTTTTGCAGTTGACTCTGTCATTGTCCAAGTCAGGACTAAGTACATAGAAATTAGCTGTAACAAGCACAAGTTATAATTTGACAAAGGACTAGTAATTAATAATATGAGTGAAATGTATACCTCTGTCGTCTGGGGTATATTCCCTTGTTACAATAGTGTTACATAAGACAGTGTCAAAAGACATATTAAAGATATGGTAACTTGTGATGTACTCATGATGATCTGTATTGCTCACCTAGTACTTCTTTAATACCTGCTTTTGTTGTCTCTCTGGGTATATGTACTTCCTGAGAGTCACCTTTTACAATCTTAAAACTAGATTTGGTACATCTCCAAGCTGTCTGTCTTGAATCAATTTCTGAAGATAATCATTAGCAGTTACACTGTTTGTCCAGGTAAATTCTTTTGAGGCACTCAAAGGTAAATTTCACCAGGATCTGCTGGCCTGAATATATTAAACTTGCCAAATGTCTTGTAGCTGTTTCTTTGCGTTCTGTGGATCGTGCTCCTATGATGCATTTGTCATCTTGTTTCTGAGAATTGTCATTGTCTGTTTAAAAAGCCAGGGGTCCCTTGCATACAGAGAAAAGTTTGCCAAGTACCAAGTGAGCCATGTCTGACTTGAATTGTAGACAACCTGAAATAGGGTCTTGGAAGGAGGATGTATGATCTGTTCTGTTGACCTTAATTTTGAAATAAAAGTCTTTGACCTGTCACAGTTAAAAGAAAAATTTGAAATACAGTCAATGCAAATATTTTTAAGCCTTGTTAGGTAAATTCAGACAAGATGCAGCTGGCACCATGTGTTCAACCATGAGTTCATTCTGCAATGCTGTAAGCACTTACCATAGTTGCCCTAACCATTCCTTGTAAAGGAAATAGATGTGTACTGCCCTATTCATGTTGAGCAAGCTGAGGCAGAAGGGACCAGAGAAAGCCTTCTCGAACACAAGTCCACCAGTTTGTTTAATAGACCCTCTTCCTGCATTTAATGGAGTGCATACAAGAAAACTGTAGATGGAAAATGGCTCTTAGCAAAACAGAAATTTTATTAGAAATATCTGCTTTCTATTAAGTTTCTTTTGAGAGAAAGAAGGGACTTTTTGTGCAGTTTGTCAGTGGAAGCACTTTCTTTCAAAGTTACATTATTGTTTTTTAAATTTTGTTTTTGCTAATCCAAATTTCCAATTTGTTTTCCCTCACACCTGGTATGAAGAAGTAAGTAACAGTTTGAGTGGCTGACCTCTGCACACTGTCAAGTTCAGATTCTGCCTTCTCATGCTCAGTCCTTGTGTGGTGTTTGCTGGGGCGCTGCCTCAGCCACCAGGAGGTGGGAGCTGCCAGGCAGGGCTGTGCCCATCGGGGTGTGCTCAGCCTTGGGCTGCCCGCTCTGGAAATCTCTGCTTTCCACCCCTCTGAGCTTCATGGCACTGCTCCTCTGGCAGGAGAAATGAAGAAAACGAAACTGATGTGATGTGGGAGAATAGAAAGTTAGGAGTCAGCCTGTGGTTAGGACTGCACTGACCAAGGCTCTGCAGTGTGTTCAGTGAAGACAGGGGAAGCAGAACTTGGCTTTTGTGGGTTTTACAGTTCTCTCTGTTTCCTGAGTTACTTCGTAGAATTTTTCCATAATTAGCAATATGTCAGTTGAGAGTAGTGATTTGGCCTCTTGCTAGGAGACAGCCTCAGGATTTGTAGCTTCATGTATTAAAACAAATTAAGAATATATAAGCAGCCAATGCATTTTCTGAGTTGCTGTGTGCTCACTGATGGCCAGGTCTATCTGCCTTTCTCCAGCTTCAAAATAAAAGGTTTAAAGTTTATGCTGTTTCAAAACAGAAAATGGGAGGGACCTTTCTCTATTGTTTTACAGACTTGATTAGCACTCTGAAATTGTTCCTCTGTGATGGGAGAATACACGATGGCTAAAGGAGTTTAAATAATGTTTGTACATTAATGAGACATTGTTCTCAGGAGCCTTTTGCAAGGTGTGGTTTTGGGTTTATCAGAAGAGCTTTTTTTCTGTTTTCTTCTCATCATCCCCCACCCCCCATATCTACTATTGGGTGGCTGAAGTACAGTGATACTGGAAGTAGAAAAGGGAAACAGATTTCCAAGTATGTAAGTGTTTTCCAGATCTCATGGCAGCCCACCAGTCTTCACTCCTATCGCTATTTTTGCATGAAATATGACATATCATATTCTCCTCTTGTTTTTCTGTTTTTAATGGTTTTCTGGGTGGGTTTTTATTAAAAATTTTTAAAAATTATTATTTTTTTCTTAATTTTGCAAGTTTGGACCTAGAGTCTTAGCCAGGACTTCTAAAAGTAAAGGATTAAAGGCTGATCTACCAAACTGGAAATGTTTTTTGTTTATCAAAAAAAAATGCATTATTTCTTTTACTTTATTCCTTTTCAGTTTTCTATCTAAAAGCTGTAGTTGTAAAGAAATGTGATAAAACAGTATATGTGTATTACTGTATTGGTCATCCTCAATTTTCATTTATTTTCCCTGAAGCTCTCTTCTCAGTTTTGAGATTGGAAGGGTTAAATTTAGGAAGAGAACACTCCCGCAGATTAAGTCTTATGAGCATCTAATTTTTAAATGAACAGGAGCACAGAACAAAAAAATCTACCTGGGAACTTCATTCGTGTTAATTCTTTTTTAAGAAATAAATTTGGTTCTTAATTAACAATTAGGAAAAGTGGATATATTGGAAAAAGTATAAGATAATGTTTAACTAACACATACATTAGTTCTTCACTCTCTTCCATACTGTTGCTTTTTGCAGTCCTGGACACACATAATTGCAGTGTCATCCATTAAGAAAGAAGCTTTCAGATGAAGAAAGGGTGGGAGAATGATATTTTCTTGTACTGTAAGCTGTTAAAGATAGGGACTTTCTTTTGCCTCAGGAAATGGTGCTCTGCCCTTGTGGAGTTCCTTCATTGTTTTAATGGAAAGAAGTAATGGCACTGTTAAGAATAATCTGTTTTATCTGTGCCTCTGAGTCTGAAGTCATCATGTGCCACTGGAAGGCAATAGAAAAGCTGTGCTGTGTATAACTTTAGCATCATTTGGCAGAATGACTGTGGGATTGTGTTTGTGCTGTGCAGATTTTAAGAGGATACATTCTTGGCTGATAGCTGGGTTGCTGGCTTGGAGAAACAGTTGACTGCTTTTTGTCCTTGACTACTGTCTTCAATTTGCCTGGTTTTGCTAGTTCTTCTAGATCAGTCAACAGCAACAGCAGTCTTACCCTAATTTAACGTTTGGCAAATGCTTCTTGCACAGGCCTGTTCATTCTAAAACTGTGGCAAATGTGCTTCCCAATACAGTATTGTTGAAATGCAGCAACTGTGACACTGAGCACAGTGTAGGACAACCCTGCCCAGCAGTGTGGAGCGGGCATTTTAACCTAGAGGACCTGGGCACTGCCCTTGGGAGCAGGGCAGGAACTGTACAACAGAGGGAGAGACTGAGGATTTCTCATCCTCACATCTCAAATGCATTAAGGTGTATTCTATACAATCTTTACATACATTGCTCTTCTATTATTTCTTCTGGCTTTTGTCTCTCCAATTTTCATGGAACTACCAGGCCTTTCTTCTGACAGGTGGTCAAATAATTGGATCACCAGAATACTCCTGTGCTCAGTTCATTGTGCTTGTGTTGGAAACTACTGGGGAGCACTGCCTCATACCATGTTTTACTGTGCTCTTGCAGCAGATTCAGATGTCAAACATTAGTGCTGTTAAGCAGGTTAATGTCACTTTGTCAAGAGCTCAAGTAACCCCTAATGAAGCTTTCTGTCTTTCCCTCTGCAGGTGGTAAGTCGAGTGGCAGCTCAGCAAGGATTTGACTTGGATCTTGGATACAGGCTACTGGCAGTATGTGCAGCCAACAGGGACAAATTCACTCCAAAATCAGCTGGTAGGAAAAGCTTTTTTGATGTATTGTTGATTCTCAAATGATCATATTCTGTAAAAAATGCTACCTATGACTGTCTTGCGTTCTGTAAAAGAACAAAACCAGAAGCAAACACGTATTTGGTGCTTATAGCTCTGTTGCTTTTAGCACTTCAATGACATGCTCTTCTGAGGATATGTGACTTTGGAAATTTATATTTTCCCCAGCTAGAACTGTTTGTTGCCCTATTTGATCTCATGGATGAAATGCTGCTTCCAGAAGCACAGATGTTTAGTAATTTCATGGTGGGAATGAACATACTCAGACCCCTCTGTCTCGGTAAACCATTGATTTTCTGTCATGTGTCAACCTCTAAATCTTTCACATCCATTCTGCACTCCCTGGTATATCTATTGCAAAACTCGTACTCCTTGACTTCATGTGCCTGTGCAAATAAGTACCATGGTTCCTTGTACATCTAGTCCTTAGAATTACAGTTTTGAGCCAAGAGTAGGTAGTAATTCTAGTGCTGTAGTAACAAGTAGCCATTTTTCCAGTATTTTACAGCAATAATCTGTTACAGGTCTCTGATCAAGTAGCAATATTTGATCATGATGTATTGCCATTGCTCCTTCTAGATATGTAGAAAATGCACTTAAGGGTCTTTCTGCTTCTCACATGTTTGATTTAACTGGAGCATTTAATTCTGGTTCTCCTTCTCTTAGCTGATGAATGTCAACATAATGTTCACTGGCTTGGAAAACAGGAAGATAATTGTTTCATTCCAGACTGAGCGTGGATAACTTTTCTGCTTAGTACTAAACTGGTATGCAGTCCTCATTTTGGAACATCAGGAAAGGTTAACTTCTTCCAAAACAATGACTTTTGGCCAACTGATTGGGTGTTAATATTTCTTTTCATCTTCCTTTTCAGTTTTTATCAGCCCAAACATGGCTACCTTTTGTCCTAAGTGTTCTAAGCAGTTCCTCATGCAAAAGTGACTTTCACATCAAAGCATATTCACTGGACTTACTGTTTTATTTTTTTTTTGTATGTGAAGGAACCATTAATCTTACTAAATGTTGAATAAGCTGTCTGGTTTTCATCCAGGAAAACTGTGTGGAGGATAAAACATTCTGTTGACCAAGCACAATGCCTCTTTTTTCTGACTTCCTATTAAGTTTATCCATTAGTTAGCTATCACATATCTTCTTGGTTGTTTGGGTTTTTTTTTTTTTTCAAAGCTTATCAAGGAAGAATTCCCACCTATGACAGCATTAAATTTTCTTTTAAAAATTAGTTTTTCCCCCCCTCTTACTAATTCTTCCTGATGTATCTCTCCATCAGTGTGTTAGAGGAGGTGAGGTGGAGAGTCAGATGTTGCAGTTCTTTTCCTTTAGGGCTCACTGAGAGAGTAGGCTTGAGAACTGCTGGTCAGTCATCATGGTCTAGAAAAATCCAATGTCAGTGTTTGATTTCTACCAGTAATTACTTCTTTTGAGGAACACATGTGAGATTTCTCTTTAACTTAGCGCTCTATACAGAGTTCACTCTTTCCCTTTTTAATTGATAGAATACAGGGAAAGCTGGTAAATCACATGTTCTTCACTTGATATATTCTAAAACCCTTCTCAGTCCTTTACTTCCTATTTCTCAGTTGTATATAGAAGTAATTTATTTTCAATAACCTTAAATATTTGGTTTCACAACTACTTTGGTTTTACTGTGTGTACAGTTGTTTCACCAGGTCTTCCTGGGGTTTCATCATGCCCATCTACACTATGCATTTTGTGCTCTTACTATCTGTGTTAAATACTCATATTTTGGGGCATACCATAACATATTTTGTGAAATTTCCCATATAGCCCCTACTCTAAGGAAGTCACATTCACATAGGGGCTCTGAGAGCTACATCCTTGAATAGGCAGCTTTGAAAGACTGACAGACTGGGATTACAAATGTGAGGTCATTTCAGAACACACAGACTTGTTTTAAAGGGTTATTTTCCACATCAGAGTGCATTAATATTTCCTGATTTCTCGTACAGCAGTGACTCTGCTCCTTCGTTCAGTTTTGGTAAAAATGTTGTGCTTGTCCTTTGCTTTGCTTGTAGAGAGTGTGCTTCATTGAAAGCTGCTTTTTGTGACTTGCTTAAGTTGTTGTCAGGGATGCTTGCAGGTTGTTTTGAGAAACTCCTTCTGTTTTCTTTTGTATCTAATGAAAGACACCTTCAACACTTCTTCCAGTCACATTCCTGCAGAAATCCCTGATGTAGATATCAAATGGCATTAATTTTAATGAATAAGAATTTGTTTTTCCCTTCCTCCAGGCTTAAGGGGAATTTACAATGGTTTGCATTCATTCCTCCAAGTATGAATTTAATGCTGCCAATGGGATTGCTCTGGAAACATTTTTAATCCATGTTGTTTAGTGTCTGACATTCTTAAATGCTTGGAGAAAAAAAGAGACTTTCTAATTAAAACATATTTGAGTAGGTGAACATTGGGGAAAATAATTGCACCAAATCCTTTCAAGGGCCATCCACTGTTGGTACCTCCTTACAGCTGGGGACAAGGTATGTTGAGGGATGTCCTGCAGGCTGGGAGCCTGGAGGGGCCTGGCAGTGGTGGCTGGCAGCCTTGGCAGCTCTGCTGTGTGGAGCAGGTGGAGCCCTGCAGCCCAGTGTCCCTCAGGTCTGCTGGATGGCACAGATGCCTGACCCAGTGTAACCAGTATCCGGCTTCTGTTCCCCAGAATTCCCACCCTAAGCTCATTCAGGGAGCTCTCTGGCAGAAGAGCTTTTGCTGGCATGGCTTCTTTCCTGTTTGACTGCTCCCTGAGCTGTGTCTCTGCGGGGCCCCAGGAGAGTCAGGGTCCCCATGACAGCACCTGGGGATCTCACTTATCCCTGATGGAAGTGGGCTGGAGCCTGAGGCTGGAGGGCAGAGCATCCAGCTGCCAAATTGGCTCAACTCTGTGGGAAAACCACCCCATGGTTCTTGGAAATGTCCTCATGCTGTTTCATCCCAGCTGGTTTGAGCTGTTCTGGTGGTGCCTCCCTGCTAAGCTGGAAGGGAGGTGCAGATGGCACAGCAGAGTCCAGGCAGGGAGGGCAGGAGGCTGCAGCTGGGTGGGGAAGGGCAGGGCACCTGACCAAGAGCTGTCAGGTCCTTGGCTTCTCCCATCCAGGATTGATTGGTGTTGCCAAGACAGTGTTTGATGTGCTTTTTGGTGTTGTTTTACTTGGTCATTGAGATAGTTAGCAATTAGCTAATACAAATTGTTTTGGAGAATGCCTAGGGGGCGGTTCATGCAGCATGAAAAGTATTAATAAGTTGCCCTGCGTGTTTTTAAATAGAAATGACGATTTAATGACTGTGCCTTTTGTCTCTGCTTTCTGGTGTTTGTACCTGAAATAATAGCTGCTGCCTTTTATTCTTCCAGCCTGTGCTGCTGCAGCAGGGCAGCAGCCTCAGCAGGAGGTCAAACACAGCATTTCCCACCCTGAAGACAAATGACAAAGCCTTTAAAAATATATGTGTCTCTTTTGGTGACAGCTGCTCCCCAGACCTTCCACTGCAAATTCCTTTGCCTTGTTGTGACACCTATGGGGAATGGCCCAGCAGGTTGGCTGCTTGCTCATTTGCTTCCAGACTGCAGAAACCTGAGTTGCTCTTAGTATGTGAGTGCATAGGTGTTTATGTATTCTGGCTTTTCTTCCTTAAACCTGAATCCTTTCTCTCTGAACAGTGTTTGCTTGGACATTTTCTCAGCATATCTGATGCTTTTGTCCTTCCTGTAGAAGATTTTAAGTCATTGGGTAGCTTTCTTTTAACTGTTCAAATAAGGTGGAGTTCAGCAGTTACAGTGTTTACTAAAAAAAAATAGGGGGGCTGGAAGAGAAAGAGAGAGAACAATTTTCTGTTCTGAGTTGTTTTTTTTTTTAAGGTACTTTATTGAGCTACTGAACTTTATGGCTCTTGTAGCTACTTTTCTAGTTTTGCTTTTGTCAGGAGGCCAAGCTGAGGCCAGACAAGGGGACGACAGGATGAGATCATACAGGGAGCTTTGTCGGAAAAGGACAGTGTTCACTATCTCTGTAAAGAGAGAGAGGAAGGAAGAAGCCTGAGGGCAGAACTGTGCAGAAAAGGTACTTTAGCAGGCACTGAGCAGCTACAGCAAACAAATGCTGTGATAGCCTGGACGGGCAGCCAAATGTTGGCTGTTTGATAGCAGAAATAACAACCTTTTTTGATATCACTTTGCTTTCAGTCCCTTAGGCTGTGCTTGGTGTGCTTCTGATTTCACTTCTCAAGAGCAGTATTATTTAATAATCTTGATTTTATATGAAGTATGCACTAAAACTTCATTGTATTTGTGGACTCTGTATTATTGGGGTTTCAGTTCTTTAGCTTCAGTCATTGTACTGAAGCTGTGATATAAGAGGGCTGTTCTTGTGAGTAGAATGCCAAAGCTGTAATTAAATTGGGCCCTGGGTTAACAGGGATATTTGCAGTGAGAGTGCTGGCAAATGGAGGTGTTAAAACATTACTGGACAAGATACTGAGTCTGAAGGTACATCCTGATCAGGATACATTTTCAAAGCAATAGTAGAGATTGGGCAAAGAGTATTTTGGTGTATTATCAAATCAAACTCCCAGAAATTATATAAAAGGAGAGAAGAAATGATGCCATAATGTGAATGAATAAAAAGGTAGAAAGTAAGGATGACCTCTAGATCAGGGGGGACCATAGGGCTAGATTAACACTTTTACTAAGTTTCCAGTAATAATGTTCACATTATCTGTGGAGGCAAGGCAAGGTGGCTGAAAGGATTACAAGTATAGAATAGAAATTACTCCAGCCAAGGCTGATGGCATCCCTCCAACTTGAAGGGACCAAATGATTGACAGGCCTGTGTTAGGAAAGAAACAGCATATAAATTGTCAGTCTCATGCCTCACACCAAAGATTTCCAGCAAGTCAAGTCAAAATGGTCTTATATGACTGGAGAAGAAATGCAGA